CCTCACCACCCAGCTCTCGCTACTCAACGCTTATTACCATGCTACCTACCCAGCAACAAGCTGCATTGTACATCCAATACAATATGTATACAGTGAGCACATTGTGAGTTTCCTTTCTCCATCCCATCCTGAGTGTGAACCAATATCCCATACCCCTACAGTGCCACCTCCCGGGCGAAGGGGGTAGAGTGGGTGGAGGGTGCGCTGCTGTCCCCCGGCCCTGTGTCGGCACACTTGCTTCCACCTCTCTCCCTGAATACAACCCATGTACACCCATCCCCGTTCCTCCTCAACTCCTCCCTTCTTGGCTTCAAGCCCTGCAGGAGCTTCCTGCACCGTTCCCTCTGCATTACCGTGCGATCTGGGTGAATGAATACACTCCGAGATGCCTCGCTCCTTGCTAAGTTTTTTTGCCTACCGAATAACCTCCCATTTCTCCTCCTCACTCACTAGTGTGATCCTGAGGGGGCGAGGTTTGTCCCCTTGTTTTTGTCCCAGCCTCCTCATATCCTGAGGGGTTGATGGCATCTTCAGAACCTCTGTACAAATATTCTTAAACTGCACCTTATCCAGCAATACTGAACTCACATTCCTCTGGGTCGGTTCTCCTGTTCTTGGTTGGGAAAATACCCAAGCAAAAGTGTATTTTTAATTCCTCCCTGCTGTCAAAATACTCCTTTCTTATAAAAGCGAAAACAGAAAATGATGTATGGTGTATGAAATGTAACAAGAGTTTAGCATTGCACATGGTGGAGATAATGATATTGCTAAGCATCTGATCTCACAGAAACACAAAGCTGCTGATGTTAGTGCCCCGTCTTGCAAAACAGTCATTACCTTTTTTAAAAGTGTGTCCCCTAGCAATAAGAATCTGGAGGTGGCTGCTGTTGAGAGTTTGTGGGTCTACCATACAATCAAAGAGAATCAAAGCTTCTGATCTAATTACTGTGCGTCAAAAATCCTTCAGAAATTCTTTGAGCCAAAATTAAGATGTGCCAGAACGAAATGCCAGACAATTGTTACAAGTGTATTTGCACCATTTGCCTTATCAGAACTGGATAAACAGTTGAAGGATGCTCATTGTGTAACAATATTAACTTATGCAAGCAACCATGGGGACACCAAAATCTTCCCTGTATACTGATTCGCTTATTTCAGCTCTATGAAGGTGTTCAAGTAAAACTCATTGACTTTTAGTCTCAGCCTGGAGAAACCTCTGATATTGTGAACTATTTAACAGATATTATCAAAGAACATGATCTTGGCATGAAATTAGTTGCTTTCTGCGGTGATAATACAAACTGTAATTTTGGTGGAGCTCAAAGAAAGGGAGTTAATAACATTTTCAGGAAACCTAATACTTACTTAGGCAGATAATTAATTGGTATTGGTTGTTGTGCCCACATTTTACATAATGCTGTGCAGACTGTCCGCGACTGTTTGCCAATTGGTCTGGAAACAGTTGTTGTTAAGAAATATTCATATTTCTACTTGTATACAGTTAGAGTAGACGACTTGAAGGAGTTCTGCGATTTTTTGGAAATTGCATATAAACAGCTACTGGGGTACAGTAAAACAAGATGGTTAGCACTAATGCTAGCTGTTGAGAGAATTCTTAGAATGTTTCCTGGCTTAAAGTCATATTTTCTCAGTCAAGGCAAATATCCTGTTGTGCTAAAGATTTTTTTTTTTTTGAGAACCATTGTGCAGAAGTCTGGTTCAACTTTAAGCATAGTCAGCCACCTTCCACCAAGTCAAATCAAAGACTGAAGGGGAAGATACAACAGCAGGAAAAGTTATGATTGCAATCAATGATTTGAAGTAAAATCTGCAATCCAAGAAAGACAATGTATTTTTGCTACATTCAGTGAGAGTTCTAGCAAACAAACTTGAAGAAGACGGATTAATTGGCTCATCTGCATTGAAGAGAACAGTTACAGCTTTTTATGACTCATATGTTCAGTATTTAGGACAGTGGTCAGGTCACTTGTAAGACTTTGCACATATGCAGTGGGCCTCATTAAGTAAATGCCAAAATGGCAAGACGTTGAGAAGACAATGGATTTTGCTGCAGAAAAGAAATTCTACGATTCAGAGTTTGATATTGAGTTATTTGACGAGTTGTGCAATGTCACAAGTTATATCTCTGAGGAACAAGTGGCAGAGTGGAATGCAGCTAAGTTACCTACAGACCAGTTCTACAACTCCTACAATATCTGGTTGGTGTACTTTCAGTTGTGTTTCAAACTCCTCTCTCTTATCAAGGAACGTGTCAGTATTAGTGTACATGACATTCAAGCCAGAATTTGTTCTCGGTAACGTCTCTGCTCTTAGTAGTAACCCCCCCGCCCTCCCCTTCTCAGAAGCTGCAGCAATTGCTAAGTACACTGTATTTTGGTGGGTGTGGTTAGAAATGTCATTGCTTACATGGCGCTCGCCTCCTCCTGTCTGGTAGGCGGAGCTGGTGCCACCTCCCGGGTTGGGGGTAGAGTGGGTGGAGGGTGCGCTGCTGCCTCCTAGCCCTGTGCCGGCACACTTGCTTCCACTATCCTCCCCCTGAATATAACCCATGTACACCCGTCCCCATTCCTCCTTGACTCCCCCCTCTTCTGCTTCAAGTCCTGCAGGAGCTTCTTGTGCTGTTCCCTCTGCATTACCGTGCGATCTGGGTAAATGAATACACTCAGAGATGCCTCGCTCCTTGCTAAGTTTTTTGCCTGCCGAATAATCCCCATTTCTCCTCCTCTTTTACTTTACTCTTATCCTCTTCGCAACTGATCGGCTCGTTAGCCGCTTGGGCGATCGGTCACGTCTCTGATTACTTTTCCTTTTCATTTATCCTCTTCACCAAAAGATCGGGTCGCTAGCCGCCCGGGCGATCAGTCACGTCTCTGTCATGCACTGTTGGCAAATATTGGGCATGCACCGGCTCCTGAATGTACCTGAACCCGCTCCAGTGTTGGTCAAGTCTTGTCTTGAAAGAGCTCACACTCGGTGCCGTAACAACACTCTCTGGTAGATTGTTCCAAGAGTTTACAACCCTCACTCCGAAAAAGTTTGCCCTCACAGTTTTCTGGACTTGCGGCTTCTTCAATCTTGAGCTGTGACCCCTTGTGGGGCGAGCGTCCGCCAGCTCCAAGTAAGGACACTCGACTGAGTAGTGCCCCCTGAGATGCTTATACACCTCAACTAGGTCCCCCCTTGCCCGTCTGTAATATAAGCTAGGCAAGTTCAGGCACTCCAATCTCTCAGGGTAGCTGAGGTGCCGAAGGGCAGGCACCAGTCTGGTGGCCCTCCTTTGAACATTTTCAACCAACTGACAGTCCCTAGCATATCTCGGGGACAAGACGGGGTGACAGTACTCCAGATGGGGAAGCACTTCACTCTTGAAGATCGCTTACTAGTGTGATCCTGAGGGGGCGAGGCTTATCCCCCTGCTTTTGTCCCAGCCTCCTCACATCCTGTGGGGTTGATGGCATCTTCAGAACCCCTGTACACATATTTTGAAACTGCATTTTATCGTGTGTTACCTTACTCTCAGTTCCCTCCTCCTGGCTCTCAGGGACTCCAAAAACTATTACATTGTTCCTGCGCTGGAAACGTTCCCGTTGTTCCTCCTCTCCCCTAACAGTAGGTCCGTTAATTTGAATTTCTTCGACACACTTTTTCAGAGTCCCTAGCTGCTGTAGAACCTGTTCTGATCCTGCATTACTCTCCGCCACCCCTCCGTGGCCCTGCTAATGCCTCAGCATAACTCCTCTTAGCAACCACCTCCATTCTAACGGCTACTTCCTCAGTCTTAGCAAGGATCTCTTTCCCAACTTGCTTTAGTTTGGCAACCAGCAGGGCTCCAGCTTCATCTAATTTCGTCCCTTATGAATTGGTTCAATTCATTCTGTGTCTTCCTATAACAAATTCATCTACGAAACGTGTTTTCTCTCAAATGAACAATCTGTGGACATTTGAAAAATCACAACTAAAAGTTGTAACCCTCAAAGCCTTACTAGTCACGGAAATTAACTTCAAGCAAACCTGTCCGGAATTCTACAATATGCTGAGATCAACTCCAGAGATGTTAAAACAAATCTTATAAAGTAAAAGGTACGAGCATTAGAAGGTAAGTAGGCAAACACCATTGTTATGTGCAATTGTTTTGATTTTGGGTCAGTATAACTGTATAATTGGTGTTGGTGTATAGGATGTAGTGTTTTTCTTTCATGATTTTGGTATGTCCCGGTTTTATCTCCAAGAAGTATGGTTTCATAGTATATATGAAATTTTTCAACTAAACATATTGATATAATAATCTAATTGTCTTTACAAGAACTAAAAGAACATATAAACTATAAAGTATAAACATTGATAGAAAACACATGATTTATATTCTCCATTAAGATGAAACAACAGTACAGTATAATTTTGTGCTCTTTTATCTAAATTATCATGTCTTTCAGTGTTCTCTTTTGTGTTGCCTTCTCTTCTGAAAAAAAAAGTTTCACAACCACCACAACAATTGAACTTTAAATTTAGCGCCACAGATCAAGCTGGTTTGTTTACATTTATCATATCCAAGTCTACCAACCCTCTCGAGTTGCGGCATTACAGTTACTAAGTAGTTACCCGAATATACAGGCTACTGTTAGAGTTTGTCGAATACATTTGTCGAGTTACAAAAAAAGCAACCCGATGTTCTGGATTGCTCTTTGGGCTTGCTACCCGGAATGTTTAAAAAATATGGCCGTTGGTAACACTGATTTAAACGCGATGTAGTGGATTGCGCAATACCTTTAATGTTATAAAAATACCACGGTAAGATCGGCTAAAGTATTTTATATTTAGACGACACTAAGTGAGAAAATCTTATATAACTTAAACCATTAATTATATAGTGTATTTCTATTAAGCTTGGTTAAATCTAACTGGTGGAGGTCGTGTACTTAAACAACAAGTCAAATGGTATTGTCGGGATTAGTAACTAACATTGGCTGTGTTAGTCTTGAGGTCTCGGCTCGGGCGATGTGTACTTAGAATAGGTACAGAAAAGGTTACCATCTTAGAAATCGAAGACAGGCAGGTTTAAAATACACGAAAAACATGTAAATGTTTTAGTGATGTGGCGGATCATCAACAGCATCTTCAGGGGTGAGTTGACTACCTTTGCTTTATTGTTGTAGGAAAATATTTAATCTTATTCAAAGGTGATCTTCAAGGACGGAGGCTGGCTGGGTGATGCTCAATCACATTATTTGCTAATACATGTTTCTCTTACAGTTGCTGAGGTGAAGAAGATCGTTCTTTGTAAGGACAGTAACTTGTTATATTGGACATCTAGACTAGAATAAATGGTATGAAAATATTTGGTAAAATTTCACTTGTTGCCACTATACGAAATGGAAGATGAAACTTATGTTTTTCCGATGTGTTATGAACAGGAGCCACGAATTACCCAAAAGTACCCATAAGTATAGAAAATAAGGGTAAAATCTTAACGAAAATCTGTTATACATACACAAACACGTTTAATAATGTTTTTAATGTAATTTTGTAAAAATAATTTGTAAGATGAAATAATAAACAGCGAAAAACTTTCAGTATTGGCGCATGCTAAACAAAGAGTTCGTGAACAAGGGAGATAACTCAGATCCATCGTGATGCACTAACCTAACCTAACCTTACGAAAAGTAAATCCTACGGCTATGTTAAATACCCCAAAGTAACAGAAACATCGGTAATTATATCACCATTTTGGATAGGTGACTCTTTGGAATTTAGCATTTTTCGCTGTTTATCATTTCATTATTTTGACTACATTTCAATGAAAACATTATTAATCAGGTTTTATTGATGTAAAACATATATTCGTTAAGATTTTACCCCGATTTAATATACTTTTGGGTACTTTTGGGTACTTCGTTGGACCGGTTATGAACGAATTTGACCCTCATTTCTTGTGCAAAAAAAGTAATTTCTGAGATATGCCTCCCTCCCATCCCAGAATCTAGAGATTTGCTATTAAAATCAAGGTAAAAGTGCTTCAAACACACCGAAAACCACTGGAGAAACAAAACCCTAACCTAATGTATCTGTAGAGCTCCACAGTCGTTCGATATTCTAGGTGTGTACCGCCACGTTAGATCATATATAATAAAATGCTAAATATCTCGTTTAAATGTAATTTGTGCTAGAAATGCCATTGAAGAAAAGTGTCTTAGAATTGTCAAAATTACCTATTGCAGCTATAAAATTCCCAACATTCATGTAGTGGCAACAATTGAAATACTGTAATACCAAATATTGGTAAATATTTGTTTATTGGTTGTCCTCAGGTTTTGATACATTTTTTGTTGTTGTTTGTATTTTGGAGTGCTTTACTCAAATATGACCTTCATTTCTGGTGCAAATTAGCGGTTTAAAAAAAATTTAACAAATTCATTTGTAACAGAAACTGCTAATTTGCACCAAAATAGCAGTCAGGTTTGAGTAAAACACACCAAAAAACTAACCTAACCTACTGTGGTGGAGGATACAGCTGGGCGATCTGGTATGCATATGGTTACAGACAAAAGAATTCTGTCTTTTCTTAAGGGGAGCGTCCGACTGAAGCACGAAATTCGTTATTATTTATTTATTTTATTTTTTATTTTTTTATTTTATTTTTTATTTTTTTATTTTTTACGGGAATTAGCCCACCCGGGCAGAGGTCAAACGACCCACAACGGGGCCTGGGGGGCGAAAAAACCCAGAAAGAAATTGAAAATAGAGAAGAAAAGGGTTATACTGTATTGTGTTAATCTACACCACGAAAATGCCGGAAAACCAGCTTTTTAAAGTGAAACTGATTGTATAAGCATTCCACAGATTGGTTGTGTGAGGAAAGGAGGAGGTACTATAACGGGTTATTCTCGTGTGACCGACATCCACAGAGAAACGGTGGGCACCACAGGCAAGATGTGTGTTACGAGCCCATGGCCTTACCGGCAGTACATAGGATGCCAAATCCACCGAACACTGCCCGTTAAAGTACCTGAAAAAGAGAGAGAGAGAGACGCAACATTGCGGCGAAGAGAAAGGGAAGAGAGATTGTTGACTAAAGGAGGAGAGTTAATAAGACGAAATGCCTTTGATTCCATCCTATCTAATAGTTGGACAGAAGAAGAGCCACCCCAGATATGAGAGCAGTAGCTACTGCATCTGTACAGCATTCCCAACTTTCGGGAGGCAGCTTTAGCTATATTAAGGATGTGTGATTTCCAGGACATATTGGAGGAAATGGTGAGGCCTAACATATTTATTTCAGAATTTGGCAGGATGATAGCGTCCTGAAATGTATGGTAATTGGTGGGAGATAGTCTAATTTACAAATTGTAATTGGTAAATATTGAGTTTTATTACTATTGAACTTAACCAAGTTTGTACCTCCCCATTCAGAGATGCTGTACAGATCCACATTGATAGAAGTAATGATATCAGTTCTAAAAACAGATCTAGTTTGAGAGTTAGGAGGAAGGGGAAAATGTGAAGAAGAGTGAAGAGTAAAATCATTAGAGTAAGAATGGATAGAATTAGTTGTAGTGTGAAGTAAATCATTGACAAAAAGAAGGAAGAGAGTAGGTGAAAGAACAGAACCTTGTGGGACACCACTACTGGTAGAGAAAGAGCGAGAGATCGATCCCTCAACAACAACTGCCATGGATCGATTCTCAAGGAAGCTAGAGATGAGGAAACAAAGTGGGGGAGAGAAACCAAAAGAGGGAAGTTTAGATAGCAAAGACTTGTGCCATACCCTGACAAACGCTTTGGAGATGTCGAGGGCCATGATGAAAGTTTCCCCATAATCCCTAAGATAGGATGACCAAAGATGGGTGCAATAGGAGAGCAGATCACCAGTAGATCTCGCCTGGCGAAAGCCATACTGGTGATCCGACAAAAGAGAAAGCCGTTCAAGGTGACGGAGAAAATGGGAGTTCAAGATAGTTTCGAAAATCTTGGAGAAGGATGAAGTTAGGGCAATGGGGCGATAGTTAGAGGGATTAGAATGGTCACCCTTCTTCGGGATGGGCTGAACCAAGGCATGCTTCCAAGAAGAAGGAAAAGTTTGGGTTTTGAGGCAGAGGCGAAAGAGGCGAGTAAGCACGGGGTATTCCGTCCAGTCCATGCGCCTTACTCACATCCAACCTGGATGTGAGTAATCTCCACCCTGTGAGTGGAGATTATAGGAAAGTGCATAGGTTCAGTAGGAGGTGCAGGGGTAGGAGGGATAGAGTGGGAATCGTCTAAGGTGGAATTAGAGGAGAATCAAGTGCCAAAGAGGTTGGCTTTGTCAGGGGGAGAGTTGGCTATAGAGTTATCAGGTCGTAAGAGGGGAGGAAAAGAGGAGTGCAGAAGTTGTTACAGATGTTTTAAGTTAAGGACCAAAAGAATTTACTAGAGGAAGAATTAGTCAGGACAGCGGTCTTTCTTTTAATAAAATTCCGCTTGGCCCTACGAAGAATAGCCTTACAACGATTCCTAGAAGTATTGAAAGAGGTGTGGGTAATAGGAGAAGGAGTTAGTTTTATAGCTCGATATGCCCTATCTCTCACCCTGCAAGCAAGAGAGCAGGAGCGATCAAACCATGATTGTAATGTGAAAGTTTTGGTAGAAGATGGGATAAATGCACTCATACCACCGAGTGTAACCCCAGCAATGCTGTCAGCACATACCGAGACGTCCCGAGTGGAAAAACAATGTTCATCCCAAGGAAAGTCGGTGAAGAATTCTCTCAAGGATTGCCAGCTTGACCTCCGATAGTGCCATAGTTGACGTTTAGAGGGGGGGTGGGGAGGTGGTCGTGCCCGGTTTGATTTAATAGAAATAATGTTGTGATCAGAAGACCCTAAGGGGGCAGAAATTGAGTATGAATAGTGTGAGGGGTTAGAGGTAAAACAAAGATCAAGAATGTTAGCAAGTTGATCGTGTCAATCAGGAACGCATGTAGGGTGTTTGATTATTTGTTCCAAATCATTAAATAGGGAAAAAGAGAGTGCCTCAGCTCCACCTGGGTCATCCCTTGCAGAGCCAAACCGCTCTCTGTGATGTACGTTGAAATCCCCTAGGTAGAGGATCTCGGTGTTGGGGTGTGTGGATAACAATAACTCATGGCAAGAAGTGAGATAGTCAAAGAGTTCGAAATAGTTGGTAGAGTTGGGAGAACAGTACAGGTATAGGAAACAAAGAAAAATAGTCACAGTAGGTAGAGATATTTTGAGCCAGATGATCTATCAATGCCTAATCATTAATTTTTCCCTTATATTCTTATCAGTTTTCAAAATCCTACTTCTCCATAACTTCTCTCTATATTACGTTGAAATTCACGTGAAGTATAGGTAATTTACTCCTCTTAAACGTGACATATAAATATTTCTGATTGTTGCTTTTGTTTTGGGTGCATAATTTTTTTTCCTAACTACCATTTTTTCCTCCAAATATTTATAAAGATAAATCACCAAATAATAAACCAAGACAAATATAAAGAAAATCTATATGTTCAGTCATGCACAATGTTATTTTACAGGTTGACAACCCTTTATCCGAAATTCCGAAAACCGAAAAGCTCTGAAAACCGAAAGTTTTTTTTGTGGGTCTTTTTTTTTTTTTTAAACAGGGATTAGCCCACCCGGGCATAGATCACTGACCCACATCAGGGCCTGGGGGGCGAAAATGTAATAGTAATAATTATAATAATAATAATTATTCATAGTAAATACAAATTTTAATAAAAATACACCAAAATAAAATAATATGATAACATTAATAATAATAATAATAATAATAAAATTAATAAAAATAACAATAATACAGGAGTACTGTAATAATAAAATAATACTAATAATAAAGCAATACAAGAATGAAAAAAAGATCAAAAGTGAGAAACACGACCCAGACCTATGAATTATTATTATTATTATTATTATTATTATTATTATTATTATTATTATTATAATTATTATTATTATTATTATTATTATTATTATTATTATAATTATATTTTCGACCCCCAGGCCCTGATGTGGGTCAGTGATCTATGCCCGGGTGGGCTAATACATATTAAAAAAAAATAAAAAAAACATTCTGAAAACCGAAAAATTCCGAAATGCCTCTGG